GTCATCAAGAAGTGAAATGTGTGTAAGAAAAAGACAAATTCTATCAGCAATAGCGCGAATATTCGATCTTTTAGGAATGCTGTCCCCGTTCATAATAAAAGCCAAGCTACTGATGCAAGATTTATGGATACAGGAGCTAGAGTGGGATGAGCCAGTTAATCCAGGCATACAGGAGCGGTGGCAACAATTCAGAAATGACGTTTAACACATCAAAAATATCAGAATTCCAAGATGGATTTGTTATGATGAAACCGAAATAGAAATAATCGGATTCTACGATGCGTCAGAAATGGCATATGGCGCAGTAGTGTACAGCAGAACAACAGTGGCAGGGGAAGTCCAAATTAACGTGCTACAAGCAAAATCAAAAGTAGCTTCCGCAAAAAACAAAACCACATTACCAAGGCTCGAACTATGTGCAGCCGTACTATTGGCGAGTTTCATGAATAAACAGGGATGCATCAGATGTTCCCGCAACAACAAATGCATAGACAGATTCAATGATCGCCCTTGGGTGGATAAAAAGCAACCCACTGCGGTGGAAAACTTTTGTCGCAAATAGAGTTGCCGAAATTCGACATTATATTCCTCAAGAAAATTGGCACTATGTTAGAACGAACGAAAATCCAGCCAACGTAATTTCCAGGGGAGTTGATCTTGACATACTTCAAGACTTGCACTTATGGTGGAATGACCCCGAGTGGTTAAAAACAATGAAGATTGGCCAACGAATGTCGAAATTCCAAAAATAGATCAAGAATTGAAAAGATGTCATCAAGTAAAGATCCAAAGAATTGAAGAAGAATGGACGAGATTTTCTAGCTTCACAAGGATGTTAAAAGTCCTATTATATTGTCGGCGGTTTCTCAGAAAACCGGAAGTAAAGCAATTAACGAAAGGGGAACTAGACAATACCTTAAAGACAGTCGGAAGGTAAGGAGTTTACAAAAAAATGAGTTCGTACACGAATATTCGGCACCAATGGAAAAGAAGAAATTAAATTCAAAAAGCAAACTATTAAACATAAATCCAATATTGGATCAAGAAGGCGTCATAAGAGTAGGAGGACGTCTAGAAAGCTCTGAGCTACTGTCCAGTGACCCGAAACATCCAATGATTCTGCCTCGCAAAAACCACTTGACAGATTTGATAATTCATCATTCGCATGGAATGACACTCAGCCGTATTTCGACGATTTACTGCGCGGAGAGGGCACTGCAGTCACGTATAGTGACAATGGAACAAACTTTGTGGGAGCAGCCAATCACTTAGAGCAGGAAATCAAACTAATCACACAAGATCCGGAAACTCAAGTTCAAATCAATACTCTTGGTAAAGTCGATGAAAAATCACTTGAAAAGAATCATGGGAGATACGACATTAAGTTATGACTTGCCATGAAACTGATAGGGTACTATTCTAACACCATTTCCAACCCCCATGCAAAATTTCATTATTGACTCAAATCTCGTCAAAATACGACAAACTACCCTTAGCAAGTAAAAATGCATGAATATTCAGATTTGCGTATTTTTTCCAACTCGTACTTCGAGTCTTGCCATGAAATTAATAGAGGTATTATTTCAACATCATTTCCAACCCTCATGCAAAATCCCATCGACTCAAACCCCGTCGAAATATGAGAAACTACCCTTAACATGTAAAAATGTATAAATATTCATATTTTCGTATTTTTTTTCCAACTCGGACTTCGAATCTTGCTATGAAATTAATAGGGTACTATTCTAACAGCATTTCCAACCCCCATGCAAAATCCTATAACCCTGTTGAAATATGAAAAACTACCCTTAACAAGTAAAAATGCATAAATATTCAGATTTTCGTATTTTTTTTCCAACTCGGACTTCGAGTCTTGCCATGAAATTAATGGGGTACTATTCTAACACCATTTCCAACCCCCATGCAAAATCCCATTTACTCAAACCAAATATGAAAAACTACCCTCAACAAGTATAAATGCAAAAATATTCAGATTTCCGTATTTTGTTCCAACTCGGACTTGGGTCGCCATAAAATTATTAGGATACTATTAGGTCTGTTTCTGCAGAAATCACAAACCAGTCAGAGTGAATTTCATTGGTTGAAACTAGTTTTCTGACTTTTTTCAACCAATAAAATTCGCTTTGACTGCTTTGTGATTTCTGCAGAAACAGACCTAATAGTATCCTAATAATTTCATGGCAAGACTCGAAGTACGAGTTGGAAAAAATACGCAAATCTGAATATTCATGCATTTTTACTTGCTAAGGGTAGTTTGTCGTATTTTGACGAGATTTGAGTCAATAATGAAATTTTGCATGGGGGTTGGAAATGGTGTTAGAATAGTACCCTATCAGTTTCATGGCAAGTCATAACTTAATGTCGTATCTCCCATGATTCTTTTCAAGTGATTTTTCATCGACTTTACCAAGAGTATTGATTTGAACTTGAGTTTCCGGATCTTGTGTGATTAGTTTGATTTCCTGCTCTAAGTGATTGGCTGCTCCCACAAAGTTTGTTCCATTGTCACTATACGTGACTGCACTGCCCTCTCCGCGCAGTAAATCGTCGAAATACGGCTGAGTGTCATTCCATGCGAATGATGAATTATCAAATCTGTCAAGTGGTTTTTGCGAGGCAGAATCATTGGATGTTTCGGGTCACTGGACAGTAGCTCAGAGCTTTCTAGACGTCCTCCTACTCTTATGACGCCTTCTTGATCCAATATTGGATTTATGTTTAATAGTTTGCTTTTTGAATTTAATTTCTTCTTTTCCATTGGTGCCGAATATTCGTGTACGAACTCATTTTTTTGTAAACTCCTTACCTTCCGACTGTCTTTAAGGTATTGTCTAGTTCCCCTTTCGTTAATTGCTTTACTTCCGGTTTTCTGAGAAACCGCCGACAATATAATAGGACTTTTAACATCCTTGTGAAGCTAGAAAATCTCGTCCATTCTTCTTCAATTCTTTGGATCTTTACTTGATGACATCTTTTCAATCCTTGATCTATTTTTGGAATTTCGACATTCGTTGGCCAATCATTGTTTTTAACCACTCGGGGTCATTCCACCATAAGTGCAAGTCTTGAAGTATGTCAAGATCAACTCCCCTGGAAATTACGTTGGCTGGATTTTCGTTCGTTCTAACATAGTGCCAATTTTCTTGAGGAATATAATGTCGAATTTCGGCAACTCTATTTGCGACAAAAGTTTTCCACCGCAGTGGGTTGCTTTTTATCCACCCAAGGGCGATCATTGAATCTGTCTATGCATTTGTTGTTGCGGGAACATCTGATGCATCCCTGTTTATTCATGAAACTCGCCAATAGTACGGCTGCACATAGTTCGAGCCTTGGTAATGTGGTTTTGTTTTTTGCGGAAGCTACTTTTGATTTTGCTTGTAGCACGTTAATTTGGACTTCCCCTGCCACTGTTGTTCTGCTGTATACTACTGCGCCATATGCCATTTCTGACGCATCGTAGAATCCGATTATTTCTATTTCGGTTTCATCATAACAAATCCATCTTGGAATTCTGATATTTTTGATGTGTTAAACGTCATTTCTGAATTGTTGCCACCGCTCCTGTATGCCTGGATTAACTGGCTCATCCCACTCTAGCTCCTGTATCCATAAATCTTGCATCAGTAGCTTGGCTTTTATTATGAACGGGGACAGCATTCCTAAAAGATTGAATATTCAGGCTATTGCTGATAGAATTTGTCTTTTTCTTACACACATTTCACTTCTTGATGACTTGACTCTGAATAGCAATGTGTCCTCTTCAGATGTCCAAAAGATTTGTTTTCTCTTTTAGAGCGTCTGGAATATTTTGAAGGAATTCTACTGAATTGCTCGCCCACTTTCTCAGCGTAAATCCTCCTGCTTTCAGGAGATTCACTAGGTCTTTTTGAAGTTTTGAAGCTTTCTCAATACTATTTGCCATTTGCTCCAGACAGTACGTCATCTACATAAAGATCCCTGAACAGATTTTCAAACAAATATGGAGCTGAGGCTGTAAAAAAAGGTGACGTAGGTCAAGGTGAGTAATTCGTATTCTTGTACAGGTTCGTTAGGATTAAATCTCCATACTATTCTTTGATACTGGCGATCTTCTCTATTAATGCATGGTGTGGTTTAAAGTAATGTTTTTGTCGGTTTTCGTTGAGGCGTCAAATACGACTCTAAGCTTGATTGTTGAGCTGTCTTCTCTTATCACTGCCTGATGTGGGATATAGTATTTTCCTTGATTTCTTTCATACCAGGACACCTTTTTCATGTGGCCTAGCGTCAAATACTCTTCCATAAACTGGGCGTATCGATTGTACAAGTTCGTGTCTCAGGAAAATTTCCTTTCCAACTGCTGCATTGTTGCTACAGCTCTATTATAAGACCTATTATAACACCATTTTTAACCCCCATGCAATATCCCATTGACTCAAACCCCATCGAAACACGAAAAACTACCCTTTACAAGTAAAAATGCAATTCATATTTTCGTATTGCCGTGAAATTATTAGGGAAGGTACCTATACTATTCTATTTGAGTCAATGGGATTTTGCATCGGGGTTGGAAATGGTGTATCCTATCAATTTCATGCCAAGACTTAAGTCCGAGCTGGAAAAAAATACGAAAATCTCAATATTTAGGCATTTTTATTTGTTGAGGGAAGTTTTTCGTATTTCGACGGGGTTTGGGTCAATGGAATTTTGCATAGGGGTTGGAAAAGGGGTTGAAATAGTGCTCTATCAATTTCATGGCTAGCCTCGATGTCTATGTATGGGTTGTTGAATTTTTTTTGAATTTAAAAAAAATGCTACGCCAATGTCGCCAATGGTCGTTCGGGTGTTTCCGTCAAATTGGCTGCCGGTAAAAATATATCCAGCTAAAAATTTACTCAATAAATTATCTCACGATATAAAGATTTTTTACTTTATTCTTCCCAGAATAATGAAAATGCACGGGCTGCGTGTGTATACATTCTCCCAATTTTTTTTAGATGAATCTGATGCACGCTACACTCGGTTAATTAGAATGGGTGGCCGAGTAAACAACCATGAATTGGAAGAAAAATTCTACAAATATGGGGTAAAGCCCGAATGGCTTATAGCCCATAGGATCCTCAATCATCGCACCAAGGAGGATGGTACAGCACTTTTTCTAGTAAAGGTATAGTATAGTAGTATGTGTTCTGTCTTATGCTTACTTTCAAATATTATTTCTGTAGTGGAGAGAATTATCGTATGACCAAGCTACATGGGAAGAAGAAAGTGACGTTATTCCCGGTCTTAAGGCGGCCATAGAGTATTATAAAGATCTAAAACAGGCCTACGAACAATCTAAACTGTGCCTCAAATCTAAATGTAAGTGTGTTTTCGTTTGGGTTTTTTATTTAATTTTTTCAGCTATTCGCCCTACAGCATAAAATTGTATTGCTGTGCAGGTTTCAGTTGCTTGAAGTGTTTCATTGCGTTGGGCATTCCAATGATATTACTAATAACATGAAACGTATATACCGGCTTAGTTAAGCTGGCCCCCCCCCCATTTGAATTTTTTTGTTCAAAAAGCTAGCGCAGATAGAGGATATCTAGCGCAGGCTAGCGCACCACTTTTAAAAGCTAGCGCACCAGCCCCCGCGGAAATAGCAGGGGATGCGATCGGGGGGGGGGCCAGATTAACGCTAGCCCCCCCCCAGTTGATATTTTTGTCTCAAAATGCTAGCGCAGAATAAGGACACCTAGCGCAGGCTAGCGCACAACTTTTAAGAGCTAGCGCACCAACCCCTGTGCTCATAGCAGGGGATGAGATCGGGGGGGGGGGGGGGGGCAGATTAACGCTAGCCCCCCCCCCCCAGTTAATTTTTCTTGCTCAAAATGCTAGCGCAGAATAAGGACACCTAGCGCAGGCTAGCGCACCACTTTTAAAAGCTAGCGCACCAACCCCCGCGAAAATAGCAAGGGATACGATCGGGAGGGATAAATTAAAAAAAAAAAAACAACGTGTAATCATACTCGAGAACTAAAAAGCGGATCATTTTAGAAATTTGGCAACCTGGATAAACGACCATGATCCACACTTTAAAATTATTTTTGACCATGCTGTGTTGCCGCTTCTACTCTTAGCCGGTGGCAACATCGTTATTTTCAATGAAAGACCCTGTATCTTTTTAAATTTTCGAATTCGGTATATAATTATGAGCAACTTTTTTTATTACCTTCCTATACCTATCTGTCGCCGTTTTTCGGGAATAAATTAATTTCAATTTTTAATTAATTATTATGTCCCTCCTATAAAACAATTTTGAGCTGTAATTTGGGTTATCCCTGTAGGCATTTGATCTTTCGCTCACATCTTAGTTCAAGTATACCTACAGGATGATCCCGAAATTAATTTTTGTCGGTAACTCATAAAAATGCCAGTTTTTTTTTTAATGGAACACCCTGTATAATAATACGGATTTAAAATGTTGATAAAACTAGCTTTCAGACTATGTATACTTTGCTCATACCTAATTCTTCATTTTTTTTTTTGGATTTATTAGCGTTTATTCATTAGCATTGTTCTGGCATAATCCAAATTTCAGCCCATATAGGAGGGAGATATTAAGATTTAGTCCTATTTTCGTTAAAAAAAAATGAAATTAATTACATATTCCTGAAAAGCGGCGACAGATAGGTATAGGAAAGTATTAAGTAAGAAAAGTTGTTCTGTTGCTCATACAGGGTGACACAAGGAATAGGGAACAGCCTATAACTTTTTTAATATATAAGTTGAAAATTTGAAATTTGGGGAGCTTAAACGAGGCAACTTCTTGAGTTTTTTAGAAGTAAATTGCGTTACAAGTCACTTCCGGTTTAACCGGAAGTGGCCATAATTTTTGATTTTCAAATAGGACACCCGGTATTTTTTAAGTTTTCTGGCATCAGCAGATCATTTTAAGTATGGTAGGACCATTTTTGGCAAATTTTTAACAAAAGAAAAAAAAAATTGAATTAATTTTTAGAAAAAAAAATTCGGCGCTGCCACTGGTGTAAATTGATTTAGTTAGATATTCTTAATATCAGGAAAGTCTGTACCTTCAATTTTTTGCTAACTGAACGTCATAATTTCAGATCAAGATTAAACAAAGAGGTGTTTTCAAGGTATTCCATATTTTTCAAATGTAACCACGCTGGGACATTTTTTTCCCTATTTTTCGATATCAACATTTTTAAAATCCGCTGAAAAAAAAACTCAACAACTTTTGAAAAATCAAAGCAATTTTTTTTTTGGTTTTGTTATAAATCTTTCAAAAATGTTCCTATCATACGTAGAATGATCTGCTGATACCAGAAAACTCAAAAAATACCGGATACCCATTTGAAAATTGAAAGTTATGGCTACTTCCGGTTTAACGGGAAGTGACTGGTAACGCAATTTACTTCTAAAAAACCCAAAAAGTTGCCTCGTTTAAGCTCCCCAAATTTCAAATTTTCAACTTATATATTAAAAAAGTTATAGGCTGTTCCCTATTCATTGTGTCACCCTGTATGTGCCGAATTCAAAAATTTAAAAATATACAAGGTGTTCCATTTAAAATAGTTGCTACTGGTTTAGAGTAGAAGCGGCAACACCACATGGTCAAAAATATTTTCAAGGGTAGATCCATCATAGTCGTTCATCCCGGTTTCCAAATTTTCACAATGATCCGCTATTTAGTTCTTAATAAACTAGGGCTGTAAAAGTAACGAAAATTTTAATTAATACTCGTACGTATTCGTTACTTTTGATATTAATATTCGTTACTAAATATTCGTTACTCGTTACTTCCGTTACTCTAGTATTCAGAGGATAGGAAAGATACCTACCTATGCGAAAAAGTAGAAAAGTGACTCATTCGCCATTCGTATTTGTTCCGATTATCGAATAAGTATTGTCGGGATTCGTATTTTCAATATTTGACAATAATAAATATACCCAAACTGTCTAAAAATATTTAAAAATTTGTAGAATTACCTATATGAAAAATCTTTGGTAAATGTTCAAAAAAACAAAACATTTCGTAGAGATGCGACTGATGCAAGTCACGGAAGACGGCCGACAGTAACGAATCCGTATTTCAAATCCGAGATAATACTCGTTACTCGGTAACGAATACATACGGTTTGTCACAGCCCTACAATAAACGTCTAATACGTCATCCACCGTGGGACACCCATACATAGGCCGAGTTCGTTTTTGTCATCTTTTCCGTCGATTTGCTCCGAAATTTTGACAGGCACGTGACTGGATAAGACAGTTTCAAGTTACAAATCACGTGCCTGTCAAAATTTCGGAGGAAATCGACGAAAAATATGACAAAAACGAACTCGGCCATAGGGTACATTCAGGCGATACCAGCGGCTAAGTTCAGCCACTCAGCAGGAACATTATTCTCGAAACAGGGAAGCAGCGTTCTCATGTGAACAAAGGTTCTGACTTCGTCATATGTATTCATGTTTCCATATTTAATACCTTTTTAGAAGTACCGGTTGTTCTAGTGACTAAACGTATGTCGCTTCTTGAACATTAGGAATTTCCTATTTGTACATGAAATTGACGTATTAGCAATCGACGTTCGTTTTTGTTGGTAAATATGTATAACACTGACAACGACAGAGCAATCGTTCTCATGAGAACGCTGTTCCTCGGTTTCGAGAATAAAGTCCCTGCTGAGTGGCTGAGCTTAGCCGCTGGCACCGCCTGATTAGTCGTGTTCTTTCTACTCAGAATCTCACTTATTCTCATTTTACTTCACTTACTCACTTATTTACATATGATTTACTCGAATAACCTCACCACTTCATCCCAAAATGAGATGAGACGAGCCGTAGAAAGAACACGCCTAATGTACCCATATATTATACGATATATCGATACGTCCGCGATGATGGAGCACATCGATACAAATTTGTCATATCCATATGACAAATATATAATTTGTATGTCAGAATTTCATTTGCCATTTCATTATTGTCAATAGTTTCAATATTAGGTGGGTTCGGCTTGCTCACTCCGTGCCCTCCGAGTGACTCCATTCGCACTCCAGCCGATCGGGTATTGCTTTTTGGCGTATTAGGGGTGACTCCATTAGCGTTCGACTATACGAAGTGAAGTACATGGAGTTCACTCAAAAAGTTCCACCTCGGAGAGAGAATTTTTTAAAGTAAGCATGCGCCGAAGTGAAATGTGGAAACTGTCAAGCTTGTTGTGTTGTCACGGTGTGGTTGTGGGGGGGCTAGCGTTAATCTGCCTCCCCTCCCCTAACGATCGCAACCCCTGCTATTTTCGCGGGGGTTGGTGCGCTAGCTTTTAAAAGTTATGCGCTAGCCTGCGCTAGGTGTCCTTATTCTGCGCTAGCATTTCGAGCAAGAAAAATTAACTGGGGGGGCTAGCGTTAATCTGCCCCCCCCCCTCGATCTCATCCCCTGCTATGACCACAGGGGTTGGTGCGCTAGCTCTTAAAAGTTGTGCGCTAGCCTGCGCTAGGTGTCCTTATTCTGCGCTAGCATTTTGAGACAAAAATATTAACTGGGGGGGGCTAGCGTTAATCTGGCCCCCCCCGATCGCATCCTCTGCTATTTCCGCGGGGGTTGGTGCGCTAGCTTTTAAAAGTGGTGCGCTAGCCTGCGCTAGATATCCTCTATCTGCGCTAGCTTTTTGAGCAAAAAAATTCAACTGGGGGGGGCCAGCTTAACTGAGCCGTATATACCAGCGTTTTCATAATCCTGATAACTGGTACAGAATTTAAGTACTCTGCATTTCTTGTTATTTCCAAAATATATTACTATAAAACAATTTGCATAAGGAATATTCTGAAAAAAAACTGCTACTATTTCCGCTAATAAAATGTGTTTTTTTATGTTGGATGTTGATCATCATTATAAATTTTTTATAGCGAAATTCAAATCCAAACGGAGTAAAGTTTTGAGTGATGGTGAGAGAGTTACCGCGAAGAGGTACAAACCTCCACCAGACAAGCCAATTTCTAAATTGGAGAAAAAGCTGAACAAGCAACCGATATACCTTGAAGAAACTGGAATGCAACTTCATGAATATCAGTTAGAAGGTGAGTAAGGTTAATAATTACAATAATAATGATAATAAATAATAACGGAAGAGCATTTAGAGCCCTTGCGACTTACAAAACACTCCGCAGCGCGTCGTATGCTTTGAAATAAGTCGCGCCACTTATATCATAATGTACTATTTTTTTTGAAGACCTGTTAGTAATAATAATATCAAAAAAATAACGAGAAATAAATAAAAACAATTGCAACTGTGAAATATTTAAAAACAGTTATTCCAAAACATAGAAAGAACAGGGTGATCTATTATAAATGTCACCCCCGCCTAACTTTTTCATTCGACATTTTTGATAAAAGTGTCAAATACAAAAGTTTTAAGAAATTGTCAAAAGTTTAGGCCGTTTTAGGCATACAGGGTGCGTCAAAAAAGTGCAGCAGTGGGAAGATATATTTTTTTACATGGAACACCCTGTATATTGTGCGCTTATTTTGCTAGTCCCCTTCAACATGATTTCAAGATATTCGATTTGATATGTCTATTTTCAATCGCTATAAGGAAAAACATGAAAACCCCTTTTAAGGTTTCATGTTAAAGAAAGAAAAATTATACTATTTGAGCTTCAGAGAATTTTTTTATGAACAGTTTATTATTCAAATTTCATTCATTAATATACAAAGTGAAATATTATATATTGTGAAAGTTATTATTATTATTTAAAAAAAAAAAACAAATGTCAAATTTTTGACATGACGCTTCCTAGATAAATAACTACCTAATTAATGATTGTCATTGTCATTTCAAACCATGATTTCGTTTTAATAAATCTTGAAATTTTTTCAGGTTTTGATATCATTTTTCGGGGATAATACCACGAGAGCCTCAAAATTACGGATAATTTTTCACGATTCAAAAATGTCCCAATGAAACCTATTGATATTTTTTTTTTTTTTTATAGTTTTTAAATTTTTTTTTTTATAAAGCAAAATGAGTTCTTGCCAATCAATGAAAAAAAAGATGGCGTTCCCATTTAAAAAAAAAGATCAATGACGTCATATCTTGGAGAGGAATTATTTTTTCTCCTATATCTCTGCGTAACTTTTCCCTACACGTCTTCTTATACCTATTTCCAAAATTTCATCAAATTCCATCGAGCCGTTTTCTCAGAAAAATGCCAACACACACACATACATACATACATACACACATACATATTTACATACATACATACACACAGACGGAAATGTGCCACCTTGCCAAAAAGGCTTAACATGATCCAAAACGTCTGTGCTGTAACGACAGCTCAGTAATGTTGGTTGAGTTTAGTGGACTGTAATTTAATAATCTTCTTTTAATTTGAAGATACAAAGATCGCGGAATCACTTTTTCCAGTGTTAAATAATATATGAATTTTTTATTGAGAAAAATCCCGTTATTCGGATTGGTAATTGACCTCAACAATATAAAGCAGTGATACAGCCTAATAAAAGAGGGACTTACCGAAGTGTCGTCTATTTTCCTCCTCTAGGTGCACCTAGCCAAATGAGCTTTTGCGGCGAAAGACTTATGGAATGGGCTCTTTCACTAAAATTTAAATACGTAATTTAAGTATAAAATCTCAAAGGAGGGACTATTTTAGGCATATATACCAAAAAAAAAATGTTCTACAAGGTTCAATAAGTTTTTCATAGGCAATCAAAAGTGCCTAAATTCAAACTATTTTAAAACGCGCCGATTTGCCGACGTCACATAAATATTCTTCATTTCGCTTATGTCGTTGCAAGGAGGAAGGGCTCGGCTGTGTTTGCGCTCTGTAAAGATACGTAAAGGTTCGAATGCGCTGTTGTCGGTTGTGACTAAATGTAGTGCAGCGTAAAATAAATAAATAAAACTAAACATAAAAAATTGCATTAAATTGTATTTAAGCATAATTTAAAAAAAAAAAATATAAAATCTTGAATCTATAACTAATTAATTTAACTACTTTTCATGAGATTTTGCCAACATTTCAGAATTAAATCTATTACAAATTTTCAATGTTGACAATTAGTGGCAACACGGTCAAATTGCGAGCTGCGACGTCATAGAAATAAATTCTGGGTTTTTATTTGGAGGTATTTCTTTGTTTTCTGTTTTCTCAAGAAGGACTTTGAATTTTTCAAAAGTAAAAATACAGAAAATTCTGTTTTTAGTTGCTTTATCCAAATATGCCAATTTCAAAAATTAGTGAAAGAGCCCATTTTCCAGCACTTAATTATGGGCACTTTTCCGATTTGCGGAGTTGATAGACCGAAGTATAATAATTATTCACTTTCAATTCCGGTTGCGAATTTTGTATTATTTAAATTTTGGTAATTTACCGACTGATCGCGTGCATATCGCGTGCATGGTCGATATCAGAGAGAGAGTTATCAGTGTTTTAAAACCAGTACAGTTCCTGGGCAATTGACTCGCACAGGCGCATAAAATCTTCACCCTCTGGTAAAACCGCATCACTACATAGAATAAATGAATCCTTAACAGTTAACTTTAAAAAATAGTGATACAATAGAACATTCATATATAGCGCCAAAGTGTGACAAATCAAATTTTTACTTATTTTATAACCAAAAAACCCCTATAATTTAAACACTGATGAGACTCAAGCATTTGTTTAACTAAATCTAAAAAATAAAAATTAAAATTAAAATTAAGAAGTTCAGGGGAACTGAACATATTGCCAGCCGAAAATGCTATGCATTTTCCGAGGTGACAAGAGGCAGAGGACAAAGTTTCGACATTGGTCGTTTAAACACTGAGTCCTTAGTCTTAACAGTTGCAACTCGACTTATACCATCCTTACCAGGAAAAACTTCAATAATTCTCCCGAGTTGCCACTGAATTGGAGGCAGTAAATCATTCCTAATAATTACAAGGCGACCAATTTCAGGAGTGGAAGGGTTTTCAAGCCACTTGCTCCTTTGTTGGAGAGTATGTAGATACTCCTGTTGCCAACGTCTCCAAAAATCCTGGTGGATTCGCTGAAGTAGCTGCCACCGCGTTAATCTATTAAGCTTGACATCAGCCAAATCAATGTCTGGAACAGCGCTCAATGGTTCCAAAGATAAAAAGTGACCAGGGGTCAACGCAGAAATATCATTTGGATCTGAAGAATTTTCAGTCAAAGGGCGCGAGTTCAAAATAGCTTCAATTTGACAAGTCACTGTACATAACTCTTCGTAAGTTAAAATTTGCGATCCGATAGTTCTAAATAAATGCTTTTTAACGGACTTGATACCCGATTCCCAAAGTCCTCCAAAATTTGGACTATTGCTTGGAATAAAATGCCATTTAATGGGACGTGTAGAATCAATCTGGAGTAACTGTCGATTCGCGGATACAAAATTTGTACCGTTATCAGAATACGTGTCTGTAACGTAATTTCTACGAGCTACAAATCGCCGCAATGCTGCTATGAAAGCATCAGCTGTCAAATCACTGACGATTTCGATATGGATAGCCTTGGTGCTCATACACACGAAAAGACAAATATAGGCCTTTAAAGTTCGCGTTACACCACGGGTTCTATGCATTAAAATGGGGATTGGACCACCTATATCGACACCGCTGTGTAAAAACGCCCTTAACTGACATACGCGGGGAAATGGAAGCGAACCCATCTTAGGTTGAGTGGGTTGAGGATTTAATTTAAAGCATCGTACGCATTTTGACAAAACAGAGCGAATTTTACGTTTGGCTGCGATTATCCAATATTGTTGACTAAGCAAAAAATGCACGGTCCTTAGCCCGGCGTGTAAATATTTTAAATGGAAATACTCTATTATTAAGTAAGTGAGAGTGCTTTCACGGGGTAATAAAATTGGAAATTTTTTATCATAAGTAAGAGAAGAGTGGTGCAATCTGCCTCCCACTCTAATTAAACCTTTTTTATCTAAAAATAAGTTTAATTTTTGCATTGGTTTAGATAATTTTACTTTATTTTGAATCGATCGGATTTCTTCCGAAAAATAAATCTTCTGCTCATTTGATATCAACAAATGAAGAGCATCAGTTATTTGTTGATATGTTAAAAATTCCTCGTAAATTTTATCTTTGCGAAGAATCTTCTCGTCAATAAATCGCAGAAAATAAGCTAAAGATCTACAAAGTTTAGAAAATGAAGAAATTCTATTCAAAAATGCGGTCAAAAAGTAGAAGTTTTGATTTTGAGAAGTAATTAGTACCACATTACTTGAAGATTTTTCTTCGGCTAGAGTTTCAGAAGTTTCCAAGATCTCGCATGTTATGGGCCATTGTTCATAAGAAAGTTTGAGAAAATCGGGACCACTAAAAAATAAATGATGATTGACTAATTCGCTAGGATATAATCCTCTTGAAGCTATGTCAGCGGGGTTTTGAGATGTGGAAATGTAGTACCAATTTTCAGGGAGTACCTTTTCATGAATTTGCGTAACTCTATTTTGTACAAAGGTTTTCCACCGGGACGGATGCGCTTTGATCCATGAGAGTGCCACTTGAGAATCACTCCAGGCAAAAATTTTATGAATTTTCAAGCGAGAACCAAGACTATTCAAAATGAACTGAATTAGATCTGATAAAACATTACAAGCTGCTAATTCAAGTCTAGCAATACTAATGAATTTTATAGGAGCTACTCTTGTTTTAGAGCATAGAAAATAAATGAAAACCTCATTTTTATAGGTAACGCGCAAATAACAAATTGCAGCGTATGCGCGATTTGATGCGTCAGAAAACCCTATTAATTCGTATTTTGCCTTGCCAGAGAAAGTATTAATGAATCTAGGCAAGCGGAATTCTTTTAATAGAGGTAGTTCAGATTTATAGCGTTCCCAAAGGCGAGTAATTTGTGTAGGGGCTTCAGAATCCCAATCTAATCCAAGTTTCCAAAATTCTTGAATTAAGCACTTAATTAAAATAGTGACTGGCGAGAGCCAACCTAAGGGATCATATACTTTGAAAATTTCAGAAAGTATATTGCGTTTGGTACATAGGCGACTTGAAGCTGACACAGAAT